ATTACAAAACAATGTCATCAAATTTACATCTGTTATGAGGAGACACGGCATCTAGACGTATATTACAACCTGAGTTATAAATACTATAAATTCATTCATATTCTCTCATAACATCAACATCTATCAAATTTATAAATTATCTTTCACCTCGCAAACGCCTTGTGTGGCTTTTCTAATAAGTTTTTGGCTGGTTTGAATAAAATTTAAACGCCTTTAATAGAAATATTGAGTCTTAAATATTCGACAGTAGAAAACATCAAAAAATAAAATAGTAAAATATTTTTTGTTAAAAAAATCTCCCAATGGAACCTATCAACGAAATTGTTTCTGACATTGGTTGAATGGATTTTCTAGTCATGCATACCAAAATCTATAAAACTTTTTTCATTATATTATCCCTAACGATATTGTCAATTTACAAAAATATTTCACGCCAACGAAGTTTTTCAAAGGATATCTACGTAGATGTTATTTAAGGTGGAAAATCTTCTTGAAGAAAACGACTAAAGAAATTTTTTTTATCACAAATTCAATAGAATATTAGTTCATTCCTCTCTCCCGGACATCACTAAATATTTATCCACGTCTTGTCCCGACAGTTTTGAAAGACGTAGTTACTTTCTAGTCTAGTATAGTAACCGGAAGGAACTTACCGTAGAATATATTTTTTTAATTAAACGATATGCCAATTAATTGCTCTTGAAATGCTCCATTAGAATCCGTAGAAAAAATAAGGTCTTAATCCGGTACTATCGATTTAAAGATATTGTATACAAAAAGAAGATCAAAATTCAGCCTTTAAACGTTGAAATTCTAAGAAATCTTACACGAAAAGATCGAAATTCGACCTACAAATGTAAGCCACTTAAGTGAGGCGCGATCGACAGGTAGTTTAACTTTGAAATCAAGATGAACAGAAAAATCGTGTAGTATGTAATCCTTATATTATATATATGTAGAACACCATTGCGTGGTCCTACCACATTTGTGGTTTGATTCACTGTTGCACGAATGGGCAGGTCCATCCAGGTAAGTACCACGATCTCACAGAAGACCGGCGTAAAGTAGAAGTGTTACACTTCTACGTTTCGTTTGGTGAGTGAGGTAGCCGGGGCCCACTTTGTTTTAAGATGGCAACGCTTCTGAAACCCTACAGGTGTTGCAAATGTCCATGGGCGGGGGTTATCACTAAACATCAAGTGAACCGCTAGCTCGTTTGCCACTTTGTCACATACAAAAAATGCCGCAGAATCAAGATATAACACCAATATAAAATTACAACGCCATCTATTGGAACGTCAAGTAATACGCTTGAGTAGGGTCGATAACTGGAAGTGCGAGAACGGACTTGACTGTATTGGAAGTCAATTGACATCGAACACGGGGTGTGTTCCGAACGTGCTCGAACACTTCACGTTGCAAAGGTACGGTGGTGCGAACGTTCATAAGGACACTGAAACAAAATTAGAGACCCTGTAAGGTACGGACAGGTACTGAAAATAATAAAATATTTGCTGTATTGTAACTGACATGATAAACTTCAGAAATATTATGAACTATTGAAAACAAGACGTAAGTTTTGCAAATACATCGAACAAAGCTGCTTCTAGAAGCTATGTAATATTAAACGCGTATCTATTATATAATGGATATAATAGATACGCGTTGATATGTTGATATTTCCAAATTTCTTTAATCACGTTTAGTCGTACTCTGGTTTTAAGTTCATAGTTTAAATCACTTTCCAGTAGTACAAATACCACTTTAATAAACCTTCTTATATTGTTTTCTTATATACGTTTCTTCTTTTCTTATATATGTTTCCTTATTATATTGATAAAATTGAAGATGAATGTTTATTCAGAAATCTATCATATTTATAGTTCATTTCTGTTTTGATTTATGTGAGAGAATATACTCTCACACAAGTGTCTTTAGTTTTACTTTCGCTACATCCACCAGATTCAAACAAATTGAGATTTTGTCGAAATTTAACATTTAAAATTCATGGTCAACCATTTCAGTAAAAAGTATTCTTCATCATAATAAAATTTTTGTGCATGAATGCACATTTTTCATTATTTGTAAATTCTTAAAAATATTGAACAAAAATTTCTACCTTCGCAATTTTATCATCTCATTCACAGTTTGTAGTTTTGTAATTTTGCTGAAATAAATTTAAAAACTTTCATTCTCTGTGCTCTTCCTTACTTCGTATCGTGTTCATCAAATTACTTTCCATTTGGTTATATGAGCAAAATATCCATAAGTACCTTTGTAATATGGTCCGTAGCACCCAGTGAGTTCTTGCTAACATGAGTTATATACAAAGCAAAAGAATGCCATACACATGTAATGAATATTCAGTGGGAATTTATCTCATCCCTGTTAATATCACTATATTCACAAAATATTACCGTATCAGAGTGCCAGCCGCAGCATCTTAAAAATTGAGGTAAGTGTTCGTTAAAAATTGCATGGATGCCCGTGTGTCTTTACTTCGATAGCATTAATCCGGTCTCTGTCAGAATGGGTACTCACTAAACAACCCGTCACTGTCGCATCGACTGACACACGGGAACACGAAGACGCACACTTTATTTTTAGGCCTCCTATCCTCGGACACAAGGGCATCCGCTCCAGCCGCTTAAAAGAGCGCTTTGTTAAAATCCACGAGAAGCGCGAGATTGACGTCCGGGTCTTTTGGTATGTCGCTCGTGTAGAGCGTAAAAAGCAAGGGCGAAGCCAGGAGCCTTATGGAACATCGGCGTGGCTTGTAGAGGGGGTGCCCTCAACTTTCACCTTGTTAAATAATGGGGAAAACTTAAGTTCATAATTTGCAGTAGGCATCCCTTAACACGCACACCTTGACAGTATGTTTGCAATAAGTACACGAGCGGCACTCACACATATCATGCAATCAGAGACTGTTTTCCTAAGCATTGCTTATTACAATCTAGACATGTATATTCAAAGGTTATTGATTATCACTATCCATGAACTTCTACTACACCTGAAAATTGCAAATGCGTTGTCAACCATTAAAAACTAGACCCCGCCCGGTTACCTCACTTTATTTCCAATTTACGCCGGTCTATTGTTCGGCCGTGGTGCATAAAACCACTGAAAAACATGAATAGTGTGCGTGTGTTTTTTTTACATCTTCATGTACCTAAGCATGTATGGAAGTGTAATGTCTAAATGACATATTTTGAACCATTTCGTGTAGGTGCTCATATACTCTCCCTTCTTTACATCGTTCTGTTTAATCCTTCGTATCCCTTTTACTTAAAGAAATGTTTCAAGTTTTTACACGAATCCTATCCGCATCTTCTGAGTTCATCAGAAATTAAAAATACCTGGAGACAAAACAAAATTTCTGGCTAATTCCTTCATGGTTCAAGGTGTGAAGTTATGGAATACCCTACCTCTGGAGGTGAGACGTGCTCAGTCACTTTCTACTTTTAAAAACCTTACCCAGAGTCAGTATTTGTCACTTTAAATCTGTTTTTTTTTTTTTTATAACGAAGTATGTATTTATCTTATAAAATTTGTAGAATTTTACCCACATCCCTAAAATACTCTTTTCATATTATGTCCATCCGAAGGTTGCCTGGAAAAAATTGATTTAAGTAATAAGGCCGCCCATTGTACAACCCTTACATAATTGTTATTTTTAATATATATATTCTTTTTTACCATGGTGTGTGCAATAAAGAATATTCATTCATTCCTTCATTCATGTGGTTCAATATACCTATAGCAAACATACGGAAAACAAATTAAGTCATATATTTGTATAGTGACATCTAGCAATGTTTTAATTCATCTGTAGGAGAATAATTACCAATTTTGGATTATGTGCTAACAGATGGCGAGCTTCATCCCTAATTTGAGTTTATAAATATCTACATGCTGCATAAAATTTTAACTTTAACCATTTAAAAAAGCAATTGAATTAAATTAAAATATAAAATTCAATTTACCATTAACATATTTTATAATGAATTATTATTATTTTGATGGGGGATATTCATTTGTTTTCTCGTCTGGTTGGGTTTATAAATAAAAATAAAAATATAGATATATAATGCATATATAAAATAAATATTGTAATAATAATAATTTAATTATTATTATTATTTTTATATATTTTATTTTTATTTATAAACCCAACCAGACGAGAAAACAAATGAATATCCCCCCATAATAATTACAAATTATTATTTTTATTATTAATAAAGACAGGATATAAGTTATTAAATATAATATAAAAAATTGCATTATATTTCCTTTCTTTTGAATATAAATAAAATAAGGTAATTTTAAATTTAGGTTTGAGTTTCATTTTGTAGAATTGGTAACACTGACTATCGTGAGTCTGAGACTGAGTCGAGTCGCGAGTTCGTGACATCAGTTCAATTCGTTACTTGATTGTTCTCAGATTGTACAATATAGACTTAAACTTCATCACTTACAAAAAATTTATTTCGCATAACAGGATACAATAAGTAAGTAAATGCAATTTATCTCGTTCAGTGTATTGCAAAAAAATATTATAGATGTCTCTTCCAATATATTGATCCAATAATTAACCTCTAGTATTTTCCCAATTTTTACTTTAAACTGAAAGATAGGACATGATGTCGCAAAAGGGCTACTTCCTGAATTATAGCAAATTTATATTCAGTTGTTTTTCTTTTGCAAATCATCTTAATTTCGCAAGCTTACGTAATAATTTCATTACGACACATCACGCACCTTGGAACTCCCTTCTGACATTGATCCTGACCCAGATATGCAGAAATAATCTGGATTCAAGACAGTATTATAGATGTTCACTTACATAATGACATAGTTAAATTGACATCAAAATAGGGATTAAATAATTGCTCTTTATACTAAAATATTACATAATATGGGAACACGTGTTTTTTTATCATAATTAAAGATATTCCTATGTAATTAAAGCTTACTTTCTTTCGTTTCAGTCCAACATAATGGGAGTACCGGCTGGTAATGCTGAAAATGGAAAAAAGATCTTTGTTCAAAGATGTGCCCAATGTCACACTGTAAGTATAGAGTTAATTACTTTTTACATTTACTAATTTGCTAAAATTTTACTATCTTGTATGTTATATTACTTTAGTTAACAAATGAATAAAGTGCCATATTTTTGATAAGAATGTATCAGAACTGAACATAATCTAAATGGTACTTTACTATGTATTCTAATTAAAACTGTTTCATTCTATAGAAAATAATACCTGCCACTGGAAGACTGTAGATTATTTGCTCTAGCCATGCATATTTTTTCCTTCATTACAGGTTGAAGCTGGTGGCAAACACAAAGTAGGCCCAAACCTTCATGGTTTCTTTGGGCGCAAAACTGGCCAGGCGCCTGGATTCTCCTACTCAGATGCTAACAAAGCTAAAGGTAAATCAAAAAGAACAAAGCATATAACATTAGCAGCCTTATCTTTAAAAAGTGTTAAACAGTTTCATTAAGTAATAATTTTGATTTATTGTTGGACAATTGAAATTATTTATATAATGTTGACACCTTAAAATTATTTCTTAAATCTTATTCAAGGAAATTATATGGAAACCTTTTCCTATGATGGATTACAGTCGTCTATCTAAAGATTAATTTCATTTATCTGAAACTGACAAAGTCAAGGTCTCTATCAAAATTATCTGCTGATACTTACATAATTATGTTGATTATATAATAATTTTAGCTATTATTTTTAAAGGAGAACCTCTTTAAACTGACCTTTGAAAATTTCAATCATAAGAATCTATTGCCCACAACTTTTTGCTCCATTTTTTTCTAATGGTAATTTTTAGGTAAATTTTTAAATTTTAAAGGATAATATCACTTCATCTATTTTTACCAGCGCTTAATCATTTTACATTTTGTTAGGGGTCATTTTATAAACAGTAAATAATTCCGTTAATGGTTACAATTCTCAATAAATTATAATTATTCAAATAACTGAAGTTGCATAATTTATCTTAAATACTTGATGATGATTAGCTGTATAATAATAATAAATGTTTGTTCGAGCACCTTTGTGGCCTTTAAACAATTCTATCCTTACTAAGAAACTTTCATGTCAGCCTGGTCATTGTTAATTAGGTATAGACCAACATAAGTTTAAACCCAGGTGCCACCACCAATCAAGTTGTTTATTGCAATTTTTATCATATACTCAGCAGCTTGGGTAAACATCACAAGAAAACTTTTTACTTTTGAAATAATTATAGAAATGATCCCAAGATGCATGGTCTTTTATTAAAAAAAAGAAAACAAAAGAAGTAATGCTATACCACCAGCCATTATTATTTTTATTTTGGAATGTTATATTGTTTTCAATATTGGCTATAACCTATGTGAACTATTTTTCTTAAGATAACTATTTTTCTACTTATCCAATGGCTAATATTCCTAGACCTAAAAAAGAGCATTATTTTTTAAGCCACTTTGTCCACATACAAACATCCTGTGTTGTGATGCGCAGGATGTATTTATGGATATCTTGAAAATGATTGTTGTGGTATATTTAAGAACTTCCTGAAAATAGGATATGATTTAAAGTTTATTATGTGAATTTTACAAGTACAAAATAAACATTTTATCAGAATGTTATTAAATTATCCTTCTTTCTAACTTTTCAGGCATCACATGGGGTGAAGATACCCTGTTTGAATACCTTGAAAATCCAAAGAAATACATCCCTGGTACCAAGATGGTGTTTGCGGGTCTTAAGAAAGCTAATGAAAGGGCAGACCTTATTGCATACCTGAAGGAAGCTACAAAGTAACCATTAAGAATTTAGGAGCAATACCACAAAATGAGTAGAAAGTTCCAGTATAATTTGGAAGTTGTCTTCTCATTTTTAGGCCAATCAGTATCATTAATATTTATTTTATGTTATGTTAACATGACCAAAACAATAGGGAATAATTATTATTCATATCATTTTACATTGAATCCCATAATTGTGAACAAGTTATTGAATGCAGTCTAAATTCATGCCTACTATTGTAATGTTATGAATGTTTGATGTTATTAAATTATTATTAGATGACACTTTAAAAGCTGTTTTATAAATTACCTTATATGATGTTATGAACATATACAGTTACCAATTTACATCATAATTAGTTATTACAGTTTAGACATAACCAAATATTAAAGATTTTTTTTTTGATTTTCTGTGTATATGTTTTTTAATTGTGTATGACTATTATTAGGCACGTAAAGAGATCATTTCTTAAATTATAGCATTGGATGCTATTCTACTGTAATCATATGAAAACTTGCACAGTTGAGCAATTTATCAATAATTCATTAAACCCAGTTCTTATATGTATTTGCATTGCTAACAACAGCATATCAAGAAAACAATGTATGGGGAAATATTTCAAAAAGCTTATTCTCTTAGATTATATACATATTGATGTGTATGTAATTATAGTAAGAACTCATGATAATGACTGAAAAGATGTAGGAGTGACGTATCGCTAGATGGTTATGAAAATTATTATATAATTTATTTTCACAGAATGTTTTTAATTTTCTAGAAAATTATCTGAATCAAAACCAAATAACGATTTTGTAAAGCCACAAACATAACAATTAATAAAGGTGTTTTTATTTAAAATTGTTTAACAATTTAAGACTTGAAGAAAAATGGATAAAAAGCAAGGTTTGAACCGCAGTGCGCGCCCGATGCTCTAGCCACTGCCCTGTATCATATAGGGGTTTTCTTTATATGTATAACATATTTCATCTACTTTGTTGTTTACATTTTACATACAGCAATGCTTGCTGATCACACCGACGACTGCGCTAAATCTTCGCGGCCTCTATCAACGAAAGATGAACAATTTGAGTAAAAAGCGGCAACAAATAGTCTTAAGCCTTTCAGCGGGAGGTTTAAACCTCGGCTTGGACACCATTCGATAGTGGATTAGGATCAAGTATCTGGGTAGCCTCAGAGATAGAAATTGAACCCAAAACTTTGATTTAATCACGTGTTATATGTCGCATATTTATAAAGTAAGAATTAATTATGAAAACAAATAATTTACAAGATAGTTATGCAACCACAAGGCCCGAGGGTTATTAGCGTTCGTGTCTAAAAGAGCTACGCAAGCAAAGTAGAGTTGCAAGTGGAACTTTTCCTTATAATTCTGCGACAGCACTTTTGGTTGCATCTCGAGAACCGTGGCAATAAGCCATCAGATCGGACTGACATCCAACTCTGTCAAGACGTCTTAGTTAAGTCAATTAGAAATAAAGTAATTTATAATTAGTTTTTAAAAAGTTATTTTACGTTCCCGCAAACTTGACTGGCGCAGCCGGTAGGATCGTCGCGATTCGGTTGCGTTGCGTACTTCAAGACGCGATATAAAACTATCCAATTGAGGGTCCGCGGCGCGAGAAAACCGAGACGATCCACGAACCAAAGAAATTTGTCAAGAATAAAGGAATATAGGAGCTGATCCTGGACGATGAGAGCAGCCGGCGGCTGGTGAGTAGAACTTTTCACCATCCTTACCATCTCCTCAGCGTTCTGTTATCTTGAGATAGAACTTCTCTCATTTTAACGTTTTCTGGTTAATTAGTTATTAAATAATTGTCTTTATATACACGTTTTATACAAGAAATAAGAATTAAGAAATATACATAATTAAATTTATAATACTTATACATAAGTTAAATTTTAAACTTTTATTGTAATTTTTAAACTTTACATTTTTATATACCATAATTACTTAATATTAAATTTTTCTGTTTTTATATTAAAAAAAAAAAAAAAAAAATTTTAAACATGGAAAATATTAGATTAATACCAAGCGAAATTATTAAAATCATTCCCATATTTGACGGTGACAAACGTCACTTAAACTTATTTTTAAGAAAGTGTGAATATGTACTTGATAGATTCAAAGGCTCTAACGAACAAAACACCTATGTAATGTATACGATAACGGGTCGTCTTATAGGCGACGCAGCTGCATTAGTCGGGGAGCGCGACGACATAACAACGTGGGAGGAATTTCGCGATTTGTTAATTCAGCATTTTGGTGATCGCACGAAGCGAGGAATGTTTAAACATTGAGCTCGAGACTCTTAAAATTAAACCTAACGAAAGTTATCTTGAGTTTTGTAATAGGATTCAATCTGTGAGATCTATTTTAATAGGCAAAGTAAATTTAATACCAGATATAAATATGCGTACAAGTAAAAGAATAATCTATGAAAATACGTCCCTCAACACATTTTTATACAACTTACCTGAACACTTAGTGAGATTGGTACGTCTTAAAGCACCGAGATCTTTAGAAGATGCGCTTAGTGTCGTACTAGAGGAAGTTAATTTCCATAATCAATATCAAATGAGAAATAAAACTTCTGGCTCGAATTCATCACATAACTCATCTTCTACACAGGCACATAATAACACATCCGCATTTAAATTCGGTAACAACACATTTAGCCAACACCCCTCTAACATTAAACCTCCACTAAATAACCAACCTGCACGATTTAATTTTGGCATCCCTCCTAATAAGCAAACGCCAATGAATAACAACCATAATCAGCAGAAACAATTTAATAATTTTGGAAATTATTACCGACCTCCACAACCGAATCAAATGCAATTCGGGTATCGTCCACCTCAGTTTGGTTACAGACCTGTTGGCCTTCAGCCCTTACCCCCGATGCGACCTCAACAATTTGGGACATGGCAACGAAATAATGCCACTAATAATAATGTACCTCATCAGAGTCAAAAACAAATTAACACCGATGTGTCAATGCGTACCGCCCCTGCACCGCGACCGCAGCAAGGATTTAGATTAAATGAATTAGAGTTATATGACAATAATTATAATGATTATATGAACTACTACGACGATAACTATTATAATGAGCAATATACATGTGAGGATTTTAATTATAATGAACAGCATGAATTAGAAAATAATCCATGTATCGAAGCAGAAACCAACCCAGTGGAAAAATTACCGGAAGAAGTTGAAAATTTTCACGTAACGGCCTCAACCAATATAAAGAAACCATAGAATTAAATTGCGACGCGAATTTAAAATTGCCCTACGGCCTCAACCAATATAAAGAAACCATAGAATTAAATTGCGACGCGAATTTAAAATTGCCCTACATATATATTCCAGAGTTAGATGCTAAATTTATGTTAGACACTGGTAGCACACGTTCGTTTATAAGTCCGCGCAAGGTTCACGAATTTTTCGAACATCGTATTTTTAACGAACCTTTCGAAGTCATTAGCACACATGCTAAAAGTAGTCATAATCAGGTTATATACATTCCCTTACCGCCTACATTTAGAAGCCCCGAACATCATAAGTTTTATGTGTTTAATGTTGACTCGCGTTACGATGGCCTTATAGGGAACGATCTTTTAAAACAACTAGAAGCAGTAATAGATTTAAAGCGTCACATATTGTTCACAAAATTTACTAATATCCCTATTGTACATAACTTTGAAGACCACATCTTTACCTTACCACCTAGATCCGAATTACGCGTTAAATTACCGGTTAATTCCCATTCAAGCGAAGCCATTTTAAATTATAAACAGTTCTGCGAAGGCGTGCGTATGCCTAGCGCTATAGTGAGTTGTAATAATGGTTACGCCACAACCGTTATCCAAAATACCCTCGATCAGGAAATAAGACTGACAGTGACAGCACCCTTCATGACAGAGACTTTCGTAGACAGTGAAAAAACTGAATTAAATAATCTTATAGACGAAAATAACGTAGACATCGACCGACTTCTTTTGGAAAACCTGAACAAATTAAGACTAGATCACATGAATGACGAAGAGCGTAAAAAGGTGTATGCTCTTTGTAAAGAATATAAAGACATTTTCTACTGCGAACATTTACCCTTAACATTCACTAACCAAGTCAAACATTTCATACGTACGGTAAACGAAGACCCGATATATACTAAAGCGTACAGACAGCCCCCTGCCCAAGCACAAGAAATTAAAAGACAAGTCGAAAAACTTTTGCAAGATAACGTCATCCAAGAATCTTTCTCTCCTTGGAGTGCCCCTGTCCACTTAGTACCAAAAAAACTTGACGCATCTGGCGAACGTAAATTCCGTATGGTAATAGACTAGACGATTGAACGAAGTGACAATAGGAGACAAATACCCCCTACCGAATATTAATGACTTATTTGACAAATTAGGTAAATGTACATACTTCTCAACTTTAGATCTGGCAAGTGGATATCATCAAATAGAAGTCAATGAAGCTGATAGACAGAAAACTGCATTCAGCACAGAGTTTGGTCATTACGAGTTCTTAAGAATGCCGTTCGGGCTTAAGACAGCTCCTGCCACTTTCCAGCGCGCAATGGACAACATCTTAAGAGGCTTGCAAGGAATCCACTGTTTAGTGTATTTAGATGACATTATTGTAGCGTCTCAAAGTTTACAGGAACATATCGAAAAGTTACGTATGATTTTTGACAGACTCCGACAGACTAACCTTAAAGTGCAACTAGACAAATCCGAGTTCTTACGAAAAGAAGTCCTTTACTTAGGTCACAGTATTACCTCAGACGGCCTTAAGCCAAATGACGATAAGGTCAAAGCAGTTATTAATTACCCACTTCCGAAAACTACAACTGAAATAAAAAGCTTTTTGGGACTCGTAGGCTACTACCGTCGGTTCATTAAAGATTTTGCAAACGTAACACACCCCCTTACCAACTGTTTAAAGAAAAGAAATAAAATTATTATCGATAAAC